TGCTGCAGAAGACACGGAGCGTCCCTTCGGGGTCCCGCAGCCACCGGGGTCGTCTTCAGCCGTCGGGACTGCTGGGAAGGGAGCTGGAATTACCCTTTACCTTCCACTTGCAGACGCAGAAGGCGGTAGCTGGATACGTACCCCGACCCACACGAAGCCGCATCCCGTTCCATGGTCCTGCGGGAAGCCTGCACCAGGTTAAAGCCCGCATGGCCTTGTTCCGCCGCGTCCACCGCACAAAGCCTTGCCTAAAGCCTACGGGGGTGCAGAGCCGCTGGCACGCCGGGTCAAAGGGGGCTTCTGCCTACCAAAGGGTGACCCTGGCAAACGCCGGCGAGCACCAGTGACGCTGGGCACCTGCTGCTTCCCTGGGGCCGAGGACGTGATGGAGCGATGCCCGGTCTTTAATTCTTCCGCCCGGGTTGAGCCCCTGTCCCTCCCTGGGACAGTGCCCAGGCACGGGGACCCCCGGCTCCACGGCCAAGATCTTCATGGGAAGAGGCAGGAAACCCGCTTTTCCCCCCCCAGCCACGTCTGCCTGCAAGACCCCCATGGAAGGAAGGAAAAAACCATCGGCCCCACGGCCCTGGCCAGTTTATCCCAGCCAGGGAGAAGCGTTTCAGACCCGGGAAGCATCCCTGCCAGCGCTGACCCGGCTGACCTGTGGGACAGGGTTTATTCCCGCCAGGACAGCGTGGTTATTCCGCGATGCGTCGCAGCGTGACCGGGTTCCCCAGCCCTAACCCGGGGTGCTGCCGGACCGGGGCTCTTCATGGCAGAAAGGCAGTTCCCGGGGCACGGGGGCTGTCCCCCTCCCCAGGCTGTTCGTGCCATCCATACCCACGGGCACACACGCAGAGCGGGGAGGCTTGGTGGCCTCCATCACCCCTCAAGGACATCCTCCACCCCATCTCAGGCACCCCGAAAGGCACAGGGTGGGCGAGCTGAACAGCAAAGCCTGTCTGAGAAGGGGTGCTGGGACCCCCCATTTCCCACGGCGGGAGGAGGCAGAGCCCCTCACCACCCTCGGGCAGATCAAGGGCTCTCCTGGCGCTTCGGGGAGGGCTGGTCTCGCCCGTGCTGGCAGGGGCACGGCACCGAGGGGAAGGTGTTCCAGATGTGCCAGAGGACACCAAGTTCAGCGCTCCCCTGATGACATCAGCAGATCATTTTATAGAATTATAGAATTGCAGAATCATAGGATGGTTTGCGTTGGAAGGAACCTTAAGGGTCATCTCATTCCAACCCCTGCGCCATGAGCAGGGACATCTTCAGCTGGATCAGGTTGCTCAGAGCTCCATCCAGCCTGACCTTGAATGTTCCCAGGGATGGGGCATCGACCACCTCTCTGGGCAACCTGTGCCAGGGTTTCACCACCCTCAGCGTGAAAAATGTCTTCCTTATAGCTAATCTAAACCCACCCTCTTCCATATTGGTGATTTTAGTACCATGACGTGAAACGTTGGGGCAGGCAGGCGATCACCGCCCCGGGCAAGGCCGGCTCTGGGTCTGCTGATGTCCGGTGGAGGTGGGAGAGGACGAGGTGGCCTCGCGGAGGGGCTGCGTGCGAGGCCTCCTCCTCGCCCCTTCCCAGCCGCCCGCGGGGCCGTGGGTTTTACAGCTGCCGGAGGATCACGTCGACCGCTTCGGCGAGGTTGTTCACGTAGGCGTCAGGCTTCACGTGGGGGTGGTTCTCATCGCAAGGCCTGCAGAGGAGACAGAGGGGCATGGCTGAGCGAGGACGGATTCCCAACCGGGTCCCACCTCCCTGCTGTCCCGCTGCTCCCAGGAGGAGCACCCTCGGGCGAGCCGGGGTCGCACACCCCTCCCTTCGCTGGGTTTTTTCCCCTTTCTCTCCCTGCCTTCCCCATACCCAGGTCTTTCCTGCAAGCTACGGTAGATCCCATGCCCTTGTGCAACCAAGCTGGGCAAAAAGCCTTGTGTGGAAGACAAGCTACATCGTTAACTGACTAATCCCAATTAATGCACTGCATTTGTATGGCACTTTTTCAATCAGGCAACAGCAGCGTCAGACAGGGAGCGCGGGGAAGGTGCTTCACAGCAAGCCCAAGATCCGACGAAATGTGCAGATCATTTTTCTCCCATGGTTTTTCCTCTAGAAACAGGTGAGGGAAAGCAGAGTTCTCTTCTGCCCTGGAGGCACGGCAGCCCTGCAGACAGCTGGCCTCTCCGGGCTGGATTTTGCGGGACCGCCGTCCTCTCGCAGACCTCGCGGTGGTGCTTTCAGACCCTGCCACGGAAAGGGTCGGACTCGCCCTCCGCCGCGAGTCACCACCCCAACGCAGAGCGCCTTGAAGCCAGTGATTTAATTAGAGACCCCAGCCTAACGAGGCACAGATGCACAACCCGATTTTACTGATTCAGCAGCATTGCTGCTGGGGAAGGGGGCAGATGTGGGAGGCAGAAATTTTCCAAGCCTTATGCTCCTGTTATGGCTCTTGGGCCGAGAAACCCAACAGCTGCCAAAGAGGAAACATATGTATTTTATACGCTTACTGGCTCTCCTTCGGGAATGAGAGGAGAGCCCCAATGCCCACCTCCCATCGCTCTCGCTCCCTGTAAAGGGCAAACCTTCATTTAGCACGGGACATTTTCTCAGCGGGGAAGATGCATTTCCCAACGGATGCATGGCAGACAAAGAGAAAATTATTATTATTATTATTATTATTATTATTA